GCTCTTCCTGCTCTGCTTGCTCTCCAGAGACAGATGGTCTCCTGGGCCATCGCTCCGCTTCTCTGCCTTCACCATGCGGTGCTGCGCTCGCAGTTTGCCCCGCAGGTTGGAGTACTTGCGCAGAATCCTGGTGCTGGCCTGTGTGGGCAAGCTGAGGGCAGGTTGGATGGTTTTGTCTTCACTGAGCTCCTTGGTGCTGGCATCGGTGGGAGATGTCTGGTTGGCAGTGGTGGCTTCTTCAGCTTCTGCTTTATCAGCATTCTCACGAATTTTAGCCCAAAGCTTTTGGTTCTTCAGGTTATTCCGAGCCGGGGTAGTGGCAGCGAACTTCTTGAGATGCTTTTTCAAACGTTCAGCTTGCAGTGAGCTGGGGTAGAGACTGGAGGAGGAATATTTCTGCATGGGGACTTTGATGGGGGGAATCTCCCCTGGGAGACGGGTGTTGAGCTTCTTCACAATCACTAGTGACCTGGTTTCAGTCGTCTCGAGAAACCACTGGCATATGTCGGATAGCTTAAAGGCCTTCATAAACAGCATCTGGACAGGGGAAAGCTTCTGCACTTCCAGAGAGCCTCTACTTTTCCGTGTTCTTTTCTTGCTTTTCCAGATCTCTTTCAGTTTGTCAGCTCTGTTTTTTACCTTAGGGGTTGGCTGCACTTCCTTCTCCAGCTGAATCCAGCCCTTCTGAATTTTCATGTACTGAGCATTGAACTCAGCAATGAGCTCCTGGTTCTCCTCTTCAGCACACCACTCCATGAACTTTGGTTTGCTGTCAACCATGTCTATATCCTCCAATGCTGGGCAGTCATCATTCCCTGAACTGTGTTTGTCCCTTGTTTTGGGGATTGCTTGCATAGACTCCTTCCCTGGTGTGCTCTTTTTTGCAGTGTCTACAGGTGTGGGTGCATGTCGTAAATTATAAAACTGCAGAGCAACCTTTTTATGCTTTGCAGTTTTTGCTGGAAGATGCTTGCTTCCACTTCTGCTGCTGGGACATGGAGGTGAATCGGTCACCAGTTCGGACTTCACCGGCTTGCCCATATCCCTGGCACTTTCAGAGCTCTCCTCAACCTTTGCACTGGCATTGCCTGGTTTCACATCCACTTGCTCAGCATCATTTGCAGGAACATTGCTCTCCAGAGGGACGAGAATGCTGTTCTTCTCAGAATCAGCCTGGATGCTGATTTCCAGCATCTCACCTGGTTGACTTTGGCTGCTGTTAGCAGAGAAGTCATCTTTAGAGGAATTCTCTCCCTCTGCAGCAGTCTCTTTTGCTAAGATGCTTTTATAGGTTTGTCTGGTAATGACACCATTCTCCTCGCCTGGCCGCTGCTCAGCGATGCTTTCTGAAGCCTGGCCAGCTCCTGGTCCCTCGCTGGTTTTGAGCAGCACATTGGGGAAGCAGTCATTTGGGAAGTGTATGGATGCTACCTCATCCAGCTGCACTTCTCTCTTGAACCGCTTAGCACCAGGGCTCTTGGGGAGTTTGATCTGAAGGCAAGGAAGCTGCACCAAGCTGGAAGAACCAGAGTCCTCAGCAGGTGCCTGGGATTGCTGGCTTCGAAGACATCGGTCCGATGTCTCAAGCGCTCTCCTGCCTTTCTTTCGCTTCTTGTCTAAACTGTCTTTGGAAGAGACAGAGTCTTTCCCTCCAGTGTCTGAGCTGTTGGGTTCAGGTGGGGCTTCCCCTACAACAGGCTCTTTTTCACCTGCTGTGCTGTTATTCTGCACTGCTTCCTCTTTTGCCACTTTGGGGAGGGTCATGCTGACCAGCACAGCATCCTCTTGCTCAAGACAGTTCTCACCCACCATGACTGATGATTCGGCTTCTGGTTTAGCATTGATGATTTTGTTCACACCCACGCACTGCATGATGGCAGGGGGCTCCAGGGGGCTCTCCCCATCCATGGTGGCAGG